TTAAAATAGACACCAAATCTGCACATTTGGGATGCTGGAACCATAGAATATTTTCCTTAAAAAATAATAGAATTGTTGATTAATCTTCTGTCGTTCAACAAATCAGTAAACTATCATTTACGTGCTCAACTCACCCAGTGCTTTCCTCTCGTTCTTCAGTAAAATGGCCAAGTTGGAGGAGCTGGAGGAGGTGGACCTGAGTGGAAACATGCTGAAGACTGTGCCCACCACCATCATGAATTGCCGGCGAATGCACACACTCATCGCCCACTCCAACTCTATCGAGGTCTTCCCTGAGGTCATGCAGCTGATGGAGATGAAAGTAAGACAGTAGTAACAGCACATCTCCGTGCGTCTTTATCTACAGTATATGTGTGAAAAGCTCACACTGTATGTGCATGTTTGTGATTATACACATTTTTTTCCTCCATTGTCAGTGTGTGGATCTGAGCTGCAATGAGCTAAGTGAGATCACTCTACCAGAGAATCTGCCCCCCAAGCTTCAGGAGCTCGACCTAACTGGAAACCCCCGTCTCAACCTGGACCACAAGACCCTCGAGCAGCTTAAGTATGTCATTATTTCCCTCTAGGTCTTTTTGCTTTAGTTACAGTGCAGTTCTGCATGTAGATCTGACTATGACCATAACCTACATTTTGCACAGGAAGTTTATTCTTTATTCATGCTTAATATTTCTTCTGCCAGTGTTTTTAAATTTAATTATCATTTATATACTGTTTTTCTTGTCGGAATAGCTCTTTTATCTAAAGTTATCTAAACTTCTATTATAGAAACCACCTTTTAGTAAATACCCTTAATATAATACTGTCAGTATCTCATGTATCTTTCCCTACATTTTGCAGTGATTTTCATCTTTTTCATGTTTTGTTGTTTTTCAGTAATATTCGCTGCTTCCGTATTGATCCGCCTCCAACCTTTTCGGCGAATGAGACATCTGGTGGGCCTGCTGTGTGGAGTCATGGTTACACAGAGGCCTCGGGCGTCAAGAACAAGTGAGTTCAATTCAGTCAATGATGAAATAACAACCACCAACATAGTTGTCCAGTGAAGCATCGCTAATCCAAACCTCATGAGAATGGGCATTGTTAAAGCCAGATGACTCAAATGAAGGAAATATTGAAACGGTGCTTATTGAAAACATGAATCATGTATACTCTCATGCCAAAACATCTCTGTATTGGCTAAAGTGCCAATTCAACACTTTAACTTGTGTGCTAAAGAAGAGATTCTAGCAATCACTCATATTATGTCCACATTTCCATATACTGTACGTAAGGGATGTTGAATAGGCATGACTGCTTTGATGAGGGAGGTTCTGCTTTAAAGTTCAGCAAATCGAAAACAAAGGCATTATCTCTGTGGTTATTAGTGTGTGGAGTAGTTTGATCAATATGTGAAAAGGGGAGTTATTATGTCTTTGAAGCCCTCATTGTTTCCTCAATGACTACATTCCTCAATAATGTTATGGCTTTCTTTTGTCTTCTTTTCAGACTGTGTGTCGCGGCTCTTTCGGTAAACCGTTTCTGCGGGAGTCGGGAGGCTCTGTACGGTGTGTTTGACGGGGACAGGAATGTCGAAGTGCCCTACCTTTTGCAATGCACAATGAATGACGTGTTAGCTGAAGAACTACACAAGACCAAGAGTGAAGAGGACTACATGACCAACACCTTCCTCGTCATGCAAAGGTACACGACATTTCTAACAACCGTCCGCTTTTGTTGCAAATCATCCGTAATATGTTGCACATTTTCACTCTCTAGCACAAATCTGCACGATTAATTGGTGACTACAATTTGGAAATCACCCTGGGCCTTCTTCTTTTTCCACCACAGAAAACTTGGAACTGCAGGGCAGAAACTGGGTGGCTCAGCAGCACTGTGTCACATTCGCCATGACCCCACCGACCCCAGTGGCTGCTTCACCCTCACCGCTGCTAACGTGGGAAAGTGCCAGGCTATCCTGTGCCGCGATGGAAAGCCGTTGTCGCTGTCACTGCTTCACAATGTGGGGCTTGAGGAGGAATACCGCAGGATCAGGCAGCACAGGGCAATCATCACTGAGGTAGAGATCCTTCAAAGCATCCCATGTACATTAATGTAAAGTTTTAAATGTGCACTGCATGAGCACTCTATTGATGTTTATGCTTTTTTCCACAGGACAACAAGGTGAATGGCGTGACAGATTCTACACGAATCATGGGCTACTCCTTCCTTTACCCATCCGTCATCCCTTGTCCCTATGTGCAGACAGTCACTCTCACCCCCCAGGATGAATTCTTCATTCTGGGTAGCCGGGGCTTGTGGGATGCTGTGTCTCCCACAGAGGCTGTGGAGGCTGTTCGAAATGTCCCAGATGGCCTAGCTGCTGCTAAGAAGCTGTGCACACTGGCGCAGGGCTACGGCTGCACGGACAGCCTCAGCGCCGTTGTGGTCCAGCTCAGTGTGAGTGAAGATTGCTGCTCCTGCTGCTGTTCTGAGCCTCCGCAGCCGCCGCCTAGCCCCGGCTTGGGCCCCTATCCCCCTTCGTCCTCTGCCATCAAGGAGCGACCCTCGGATGGCTCCCTCCCTGTGCCACCTTCCTCCTGCAGTGAAATTAGCAGCGAGATCAGTACCAGCGAGATGAGCAGCGAGGTGGGCTCCACAGCCTCGTCTGATGAGCCGCCGCAGAGCTCCTTGGTGCTGCTGCACGAGCAGCCCCACCATCCTCACCTCCACTTGCACCATCAGGCCCACCCGCTGTCCCTGCAGCACCAGCAGGCCCACACAGCCATCCAGCCCTGCCAGTACCTATTCCCAGGTTCAGAGCTGCCCTCTGCCCGTAGCTGCTGTGCCCTCCATCCTGCCTGCTTATCAGGCTCCTTCCAGAGACAACTCTCTAGTGCCACCTTCTCCAGTGCCCTGTCTGACAATGGGCTAGACAGCGAAGATGAAGAGCCCATCGCTGGTGTTTTTTCTAATGGGAGCCGTGTAGAAGTAGAGGCGGACGTCCACTGCCTCAAGCCAGAGTCCTCCTCTTCCTCCTCCTCCTCCTCCTCGCCCCAGACATTATTACCCACATCCGCCAACCAGGAGCGGGCCCTGCTGACTCTTCCCCCACCTCCTCCACCACCATGCACCCCAGAGCCCCTGGAGGAAGGCGTCGACATGAGCCTCGGTGAGGCTGAGAACGGGCTGGAGAGAGACGAGTCGTGGCAGGGAGTCGGAGCAGGAGGCGGGGATGGAGGAAAGTTGGCAGGCAAGAGGAGGGTTAATGGGTCAGTTGCACGCCAGGAAAAGAGTCACAACCTCATTGAGGTGGCTGCTGACGCTCCCTCTAAGAAGTCCGGGGGTTACTTCACAGCTCCAGCCCAGCCTGACCCAGACGACCAGTTCATCATCCCGCCTGAGCTGGAGGAGGAGGTGAAAGAAATTATGAAGCAGCATCAGCAGAAACAGCAGAAGCCGCCTGGGACTGATCAGCCCACGGACTACTACGACACCCCTCTCTGAACAGCAGCAGCACCAACTACAGCCTCATCTCCCGCCGAGCTGCAGCATGCACAGAAGCCTACCATTGATCTTTTTCTCATTATGGACACAAACAAATGAGTTTCCTCAAGAGGCTGTGAAATGCACATGAAAAAGTTTGATCATACTTTTTCTAAACAGCCTTCTTCACTCTACACAGCCTCATCATTGAAGAACCATGCACTGTAACCTGCTCCACACATTTTTACCCAAGCAACTCATAGAATGAAACAAGCAAATGAGCCCTTTAATGATATTCAACCCTCTTGAATAGCCTGTGGACACAGCTCTTGGTGTCCATGGTTGTGCCCTTCTCACAGACTGTGGAGCGTCGTTTTTACATTAGACAACCAGCTGAGTATGTAATCAACACTAGTCTCTTTGCAATAGCATTAGCTCACCACAACACTTGTTAATATGGATAACAATTCCATGGTTTGTTTGTTTGTTTTGTAAGAACTTACCATATCTTTTAATGTGAAAGCAGTGAAGTTGCTGGAAGAACTTTTTAAAAACAGAGACACATAATCTTTTTATTATCAGTGAACTATGTCAAATGGTACACCAGTAATACCACACTTAACTGTTGTAGATAGGGCACTTAAAATACTGTATTTCTTCAGTAAATCATGGCTCTTGGCCTGTAAAATGGCATAGAACTTTTTTGTAGAAATTTTAAATACTAACTCCTAGGAGTTGCATACTCTTTATGGTGACTCAGTCACTTTTACTAATCTTCTCTGAGAGAAATGGTGATTTTTTTTCCAATGATTGTAAATAAGAGAAATGTTGTATACTGATGCTTTTTAAAGGAACTGCGTACCTGTGTGTCGGTGAAGGATTTAGTTGTGTGGAGGATGTTAGGTTCACCAAGAGTTTGCTGTTATGGAGGTGTCACCCCCGCCCCCCTTTATCTTACAATGTAGGCCTACAAATACGACACAAGCACACACACACACACACACACACACACACACACACACACACAAATACAAAACTATATGTGCAATTGCTGGTCAGAATCTCCAACATTCCATGCAATATAACTACACAGAGTTGCTATGGTTTGCTCCACTTTGTTTGATTGTGATGTCCTGTAGTCATCACTGTATCTAATGAACACTAATAGACAGATCTTTGCATGCACACTTGCATGCACGCACATACACACACACACACACACACACACACACACACACACACACACACACACACACATACATACATGCACACATATACACATGCACACTCACACTTAATATTAGTCCCACCTCCCTCTTACAGTAACTGTTATCACCGGCATGACTGTGTCAAGTTCAGTAATACAAACAAATATATCCACATGGAAAAGAGACAACACAGATGTTCCTGTCTTTGGTATAATAAATTTTAAATTTGTGAATATAAGTCATGCTGTCTGGGATTTGTTTTTTAATAATGAATGCAATAATGTAATAATGATTCAAATGTTCTCATGAGATTTCAGAATTGAAAAACAATTTATTCCCAATATTCTATTTCCTCTACTGTTTTTACATTGAATGACCAGAAGGGGGCAATCTCATATAGTGTTATGATCTACAGTTTACCTTTGAGCACTATAGTTGAAAGCCATAAATCTATAAAATCCTGACTACAAGACATTTGGTATAAACATTCAACTGGCATTCATGTTTGCCATGACGACGCTGTTGTCGTTTCCTCGCTTCTTATACTTCTTCTTCACGCAGACGATGCTGACTGCTGTTATCACCAGCATTACTCCCAGCACAGACAGAGAAGAGGCGAGTGCAAGGGTAGTTTTATCATTGGTGGAGCCCTTGTACTGACAGCTGTTCCCATAGTACCACCAGTCATCGCCCACCACACACCTGGAGAGCAAAGAAAATGGATGAGAATGAGAGAGAATAATCAGACAAGAAGGTATTACCATACAGAATGTATAGAGAGGTAAACATGAGAAGAACTCAGCCTAAGATGTGATGGTAAATGATTTGCTACTGAACTGATACAGTAGCTTTTATGAGGCTTCCACCATTGGATTAATTCATTAATCATGAGGCTACCACCAGCAGGCCATCATCTTTTAGCATAAAAAAACATTTCACTTAAACCCCACCATTTGTCATTTATGAACAGTGGATAAACATAATAAATTCTTCATAACACTTAATGTAGTTATTGGCAGAATTAAGTATATTGGTAAGTATTTATTAATGTATGGTATTTAACAATTATAACTTATCCTATGAAGACATACTTTATAGAATTACAACTGTTTAATTGTCCTTACATCTGCTTACAACTTTGTTGTAGTGTGTTATAAATCATTTATCAAATGTGTATATACTGGTTATACAAGTGTTTCCTGCAACTCTAAACAAACTGGCTGCCAGCAGTAGCTTCGTATTTTACATACAAACATGACAGTGGTTTCAATCTAAATCTAAATCTTGGTCAGAAGGCGAATAAGCGTATTTCCCAAACCCTTAAAGGCTTAGTGATTGTTACATGTACAGTTTAGTGAGTGCAGTCAAAAAGCACACACCTGCAAGCAGCTCTCCCTTCATCCAACACGCAGACTCCATCATTCTGACACTGGACGTTGAGACAGACATCAGAGGGTGCAGTGGTGCCAGTCTGTGGGGGGCTTGATGGGGTTGGGGAAGGTAGAGGCTGGGTCACTGTCAGATGAGATACATCTAAAGAGGAACAACAAATGAGAAAGCAGTTAAGTTGATCCAAGTGGAGGATCATGGAAGAACATGTAGTGAACAGGGAATAATTGGATCTGGAGTGTTTTTCTGAGTGGGTAAATTAATCATGGACGTAATCATGCATCACTGGTATACATGAGCCCACAAATATTCTATTTGTACGGGTTTCAGAGATGAGTATAGAGCATACTAACTCAAAAGTAATCGATATATTATTATATATATAGCTTTTAGGGCAGTACATTTCTTCCTTTATATCTGTGTTATCTTTAGACACACATAATGATTTTATGTTTAAATGTGTTGAGTTTATACTGTAATCTGGTGCTTTTACCCTCCATGGTGAGAAGAAAGATGGCGTCTCCTCCCTTTATAAAGTCCCTGCTCTTGGCTCTGAGGTGCGTGAGATACACGGCAGTGCCGGCGCCTGGCCCTCGGAAATACTTGGACCCATCTGTGTGTGTGACCTCAACGCCTACCTTGCGAGGGTCGTCCCAGAAAAACTGGTCAGAGCCTGTTTTAAAGGATTTTGAAAGGGTGTATAAATATAGTATTACAGCAAAGACAGTATTTTCATTATTTGTTTTTACGAACAATTCATTTTAACCTGTTGATGCCTTCATGTTGGGGTCAGTGGTGACACTGCGCTGGTTAGACATACGCTTTTGGATGTGTGGATGCTGGTCCATCAGCATCATGGTTATCTGTTTCCAGGGGCATGGCCATTTCTGTCCAGTGTCCCCTTCACGAGCCACCAGATGTGCATAGGCTGACAGCTCACCTGGGTAGCCCGCCTTACCACTGGGATACAGCTCCATTTGGAAGGTATAACCCTCCTTAGAGGTGAATGGGGGACTGAAGATAGATGTGTTCATTGGGGTGTTGTCCATAACATGACTGAAGTTTTTCACACGCCATATAAACTCTGGGCAGGTTGTCTCAGAAAGGTTGATGTCATCAAGAGACAGTCCCCCTGTTGAGGGCCCAGAACCTTCTTTGGTCCCTTGAAAGACGACGCGGAACTTTGTTTTGACGTCTAGACTCACATGGTGCAGTTGCCACAGCTCCTGAGGGGGCCCTGTTACAGCACATGAGGCAAAAACATGAAATCAATTGAACAGCAAGTTCACAATGACCAGATTTCACAAACAAAATTGTTATAGGTTTTGAGTTTTAGTAGAATTTAGTAATATTCACCATCTATGGTCTTTATAAAGCGCAGTTTTCCATTAGGGTTAGCTTTGTCATACTCCCGGACATAGATCTTCAGTGTGTCGCTGGGGCCGGCACTGTTGTAGTAGAAGAACTGCAGACACTGGTATCCTCTTTTGGGGTAAAGGAGCCTGCTTTCCAGCAGAGCCATATCCCCAGTGTTGGCTGTGCCAGTGCCGAAGTGCATGAAATACCCTGAGCCTGAAGATCAGAACTTCACTTGATTACTAATCTCAATACCTAGGCATTATTTCAATGCACTGTGCACAGTAAATGATTAGAGGGAAGGTTATATGGGTCAATCTGTTGTCACTGTAAATGTTAATCCTGTCCTTACGGGCTGTGAAGAGATCCTTGTTTTGAAATGCAATCAGTAGTAAAGTTCAGTGAGGCCTTATCGTTCTAAGTTTAACAATCAAGTGGGTATTTTCCAAAATTAGGGTATTTTAGTTTGAAATTCCCTCTCTGTGTTTGCTGGACGTTTTTTTTTTTTCTTGCTAAGTTTTAGGGAAGAGATGGTGTGGAAATGTCATACTATAAATCCTGTAACTATAGAAGATATCTACTTGATTTGTCTAACACTCTACATTCTGGAATACATTCTACACAGGACAAGGACTGAAATTTGTCCATCTACATCAGAATTGCATTTGTTGTTTTTTTCACAGACAGTATGGAGAGGAGGGACAACTGCAGTGACTGAAAAACTTTGTGTTGTTTTAGACAAACAAAAAGAAGTGAACTAATCCTTTAATGCAGACACATCTGTACCACGTGTCATGTATATTCCTGCAAGATCAATCTCACCTGTGCATTTGCCCATGTTGGAGTAGTCAGTGTCGGGCCGTCCTGCAGCTTTAGAGACCCTAAGCCAGTCTGCCCTATCCCCTTGTCCCTGGATCATACCACAGATGTTCTCACGTTCAAAGTCACACGAGTCCAGGAACGTAGCGCCCTGGGCTAGAAGACATTTCGTAAACACACAGGTACACAGGTGAAGGACTTTGATCTGCTATAAACTGATTAGTTGCGTAGTAAGAAGACTGTTTTGCTTATCCACATGTTTCCATGTGGCAACAATTCAGGTGATAAACCCTCTATTGGACAGCTGATATCAACTTTATTAACCCTTAGACGCATAAGTGGGTCTAAAATGACCCGGTGAGGTCTTTTTCTTGCAATATCTTTGTAATGAAAAGTTATCGTTTCATATTCCAGGTATTCCTCAAAAAACATGTTATTGATATAATGCCGTTTCAATTTTTAATTTACCTTTTATAAATTTTTCGAAATTGTAGTTTTTGTATTACTACCCCAAGCTTCCATAAGTGGGTCAAAAATGACCCGCATTCATTTCTTATGGGATTTCATGGGAATCTTTGATTCTTATCAACTGTGACTGTCAGGAATATGTATTTTGTGGACCACACAGACTATATCATAAGTGTCACCCCTTAAGAAGATTATTTTACACAGCAAGATCTGATACATGTAAGTATTGTCTTCTTTTTTACCTCAGAAATGTGTGTGCGTGTCATTCATGACTCCTGTGTCAACAAGTTAGCCTACTTTAAAGTTAGCTCACACTAGCTAACTAACTAAGCTAGCTAACATTACTGTATGCACTGTGTGTGTCAATCATGTCTACTGTGTGAAAGAGTGTGTGTTTCTTGTCATCTATCATCAGATTTGTCTATTTTATTGTTTGCGAAACTAGCTAGCTAACCAAGCTAACTAACATTACTGTATGTTACGTGTCTGTGTGTGTGCATTTATTTATATAGCTAATTATTGATCAATAGGTTTGCTTGTCATTCAAAACCTTCTCTTTCTTTTTATGTTTTCTCATCCAAGGTGTCATGGCTGCTAGGTATACAGTTGAAATGGTCCTACAGATGCTGGATGAAGAGGCAGTTATGGGATTTGACTAGAACCTGAAATACACACACAGACACACACACACACACACACACACACACACACACACACACACACCACACAGGCATGTACACACACACACACACAAAATGGATATTGACATTGTTCTTATTGCTGTTGTGTAATTTTGTGATGTTGACAGTTTTCAAAATCTTTTCAAAATTTTTGTTAATGTTAAAAGTGTTAAAAAAGTGAAAAATAAAAATATTTCATACGTGTAATCATTCTTGTGTGGACCAAAATATAATACAAAGTATAATACAAATGATTATTCTTAACTAAAATGACAAAAATGGCATTAAAACCCATTGATTCTAATACGGGTCATTTTTGACCCACTTATGGAAGAGTGTAGGGTCCAGTCACTCATGCATCTAACGGTTAATAAGAATTAGGCGTAGTAATACTGTTATTGAAGGCTGCTTCTTGCACAGATAATAAAACAGATTGCAATATGTGTTGGTTGTTGACTCTTACTGCAGTTATACAGGCGGTGCAGCTTGAGCAGGTCACTGTCACTGAACTCCATACGCTGGCCAATGACGTCACTGAAAGCTGGGATCTTGGTGACGATGGTGGGCTCAGTGCCGTTGCGGAAGGCATTTTTACTGTAGTGCATCATGGAACCGTAGTCGTACGGTACTCCCAAAGAGCTGGAGGTGGTGTCATCATAGGTGTTAAAGTTGTGCTCTTTACCTGTAGACCAGGCATTCAAAAAGATGTATATCAGAGATCACTCATAAAGGTTTCTTATCAGCAGCTGATAGATGTTTTAAGACCTGACAAAAGATTGCTGACACATCAGTGACTTTAAAAATGGATTTGATTTATTAATTTGAACAGAGCTTAGGTCAATGCAGCTAAGATACAAAGTCTGATGTTCCCTGATGTGCTGATAATGTATTTTGCTTATCTGTCTTTTGCCTATCTATTATGTGGACACCTCTATCACACAAGCAAAAAGCTGCTGCATGAAGTGCTCCCCTTCAACTCCTACATAACAAACCTCTTGAACTACATGAACTGAAGCGATTTTTCTGATCATTAGAATGTACATTTATGTACATTTTACACTCCTTCTCAAGATCATAAAATTTGAATCATATGCATGCAAAATAGGAGTAATAAAGTAAGCATGTCATATAGGGATAAATGATATGACATGCTTACTTTGCATGAATATGCAGTGTTAGGGTTAATTCATTATAATTTAGTTGGTGGAGTAGTAGGTTCAGTACCCTCTGAGATGCGGTCCCACATGATTCTGACATAATCATCACGGTCTGCCCTGGACTGCTCATGCCAGAAACCCAGAGCATGAAGAAACTCATGTTCGATGGTGGCAATGCGGTCACAGTTGCTCCCTATTGATAATCTCTGCTTCCCAACTCGTCGGTTTCCCACAGAGGAGAAACAGCTTTTAGGGGAAAAAAACACTATTACTTTGATATAGAACAAAACAAAGATATAAACAAATAATATATAAGGCATCCATAATTGAGAAAGTGCAGGATATCTTGCTAAACAGATCATTAAAATGTTTGCCCTACCCGCCCCCTTTAAAGATGGAAATGTAGTTTGCTTCTCCAGTCCAAGGCTTGAAGTCGATGCAGGTCTTGAGCCGGTACTGCTCAAAGGCCTTCAGAATCACACCTTTTGCATTGATCTCTGCAAAGAAGATGGTAAATCAAAGGTGAAAAAATGTGTCTCCCAGCCTACCTTTTACAGGAACAATTGCAGTCTATCTTATAATTGAGCATTTTTTCATACTGTACCACACTATAGAAATACTACTCAATTACAAGTAAAAGTCCTGCATGTGCAAAAGTATTAGCAACAAAATTAACTTAAATTATGAAAAGTAAAAGTTTGTATTATGTGGATCCCTGTGACCCCTTTATTATTATATAATTTAATCATTATTATTGATGCATTAACATGTAAGCAGTATTTTATGGTTGGTCAAGTTGGAGCTAATATAACTGCTAACTATATAGTGTTGGGTAGTTTAATCTATAAAAATTATGAAGATGAATATATAAAATATCTTATATGTAAAACTTAATCTGAAAAACAAATATAAAATGAAAATACTCAACGCAAGTAGAAGTACCTCAAAAATTTACTTAAGTATCGCACTTCTAGTTGGGTACTTCCCACCATTGCTTACCACAAGACTAATATAGTTGAATATGTTGTAATAAATCCATCGATTTGTCTCAAAAAAACACAGCATTAACATGTAGGAACATTTTCAAAGTGAACTGAATTGCTTCTGGGAGCTTACACAGACTTTTTCTAACAGGTTCAAACAGGCACTCTTACCTAAGTCATCTTCCATGTAGTAAGGAATAGTCTTTGGCCACCTGTACTCATCCCCTATAATGGAATTTCTAGTTTGTCTCTGTGGCCGTCAATCAAAGCAATCACAAAGATAAGAACAACAAATTAGTTTAGTTGAGGTTAAGCTTTATTATACAAAATTCATTTGTGCCAGTGAATATTAAAAGCAGTTAAATTAACATACCTCATCAAGCACAATGTCTCCCTCTACAAGATTCAACCCTGCTTCTGTGGAGACCAAGCACAAAGAAAATTGGTTTACAATGGTTACTTGAATAACAATCTGGAAACACGAGGACAAAGAGTGTCTTCTTTCCTTCTTTCTGCCTACCTTCGTTGATGTCAATAATGTCAAGGTCTCGTCCACCGTCCACATCATAGTCTATTTAGGTGGATATGAACATACAAATGTAAAGAAACAGACAGAAAAGTGACAATAATCAGTGAAGTCTGTGTCTTGCTTTAAAAAAAAAAAAATCACTTACCTAATATTTTTGTTGTGGGCTAAACAAAAGAGAATAACAATGTAAATGTTATTGATTAGCAGGTGTATTAAAACTAAGTTTTATGTTATCATACAGCAGTATCTTAACATAATGAACCAATTTCTCACCCAGGAAAGGCTAGAACCACACAAGAGGCAAACAATGTGAAGAGCAAGTACACCTGTAGGTTTTCTTTCTGCCATATCCTAAAGTGCCCCTCTACATGGGGCAGTGCGGGTGACAGGTACTGAACTCCTACTGACACTGAATTAGAGAGGTGCATGCAAAATAAAATAAAAAAACACGTGATCACAAGCTGATAATTGACAGAGCTGTGAATGGTCTGAGTTATAGAACAACTTCAATCTCCTCTGCTATCTGCTCACAAATCTTTACACATTTGCAGCTGCAGTGAAACACTAAGCTTGGGGAAAGCATGTCTACAATCATAGAACCTACTTACCTGCCAGAGCAAGGCACACCTTTGAATGTAGTAATGCACTGCATCAACCAGGTCGATTTCCAACAAAATCCATATAGAAAACTTGTTTATCTACTTATTCAGTGTTAAATTGTAGCTGTTAATGAAATACAGTTCCCATCTTTCCAATACACCAGAAAGCAACAGAAATGTATTGTACCAAACCTTATATAGATCCAGAATAAATCAATAAGTTTTCTTTAAGCTGTTTTTTCACTGTAATTATACACTGACAGGAAAATGTAGCCTCTGATGTTCTTGGACAGTATTCTCTGGGCTCTTACAAGCAGTTCAAAGCTCATTACAAGCCAGTGTTTATTTTTTCCTTGTCATACATAACCATTACCTTGGACTTCATAGTAATGCTTCACTGGAATTTAGGAAATGGCAGTTGTGAAATGTATATGTCCATTTAAAAAAATAAATAAAATAAAATGAAACAAAGCAAAACAAAAAATTGATTTGTAACAATTGTAAAAAGATTGTTACATTAGTTTTTAAATATTCTTTGTGCTACATCAATTTGTAAATGGCAAGGCAGAATGGGATGTGGTTTTCCTGAGAAACACAAACGAATTACATCAAAACAGTCCCTATCACTGACAAAGAATCCAGCTATCTTAGCCTTAAAAAACTGTTGTTGGTATTGTATACATGTAGACCATAAGATACTAAGGAAACCAACAGAGACATCAGGACCACTGCAACTCAGTGACAAACCTCTTTAACATTCAGCAGGCTGCAAATTCTCCACAATCACCAGTTTCTGCAGACAATATGCAATAATATAGGAAAGGAAAGTGATAACCACAAATTTACATGTCAGTGGCACCACCTACAGACAAAGAATATATATATATATATATATATATATATATATAGATATATGTGTGTGCACACCATTAAATCACATACCAAATAATGTTGATGATCCATTAAATTAATCACGTAATTGTTGTCTGTCTCTCACTGTAAAGCTATTGTAAAGCTGAAATTCGTTGAGCCCTTGTTTATAGTGGAACTAGGACAAAACAGGAGGAAACAATCAAACACAGCTGTCACATTCATGCAAACTTTGGGTGGTTTGGTGGTGTCATATTTTAGGCTTTGGTGATTACTTATTGATATTTCCTGGACTCTGCTTCATATTACTTATAAGATGGATTCATGGAATAGATGAAACTAATGGAGCTGAACTAATGCAGTTCAGGCTCTGGTCATATTCTTCCTCTGACTGACCATAAGATGATTTGATACAAGTGGAACACCAGCAATATTTAGCAAGAATAAGAAGAAAAACTTGATCCACAGAGATGGAATGCACATTGAACTCAATGCAATACTACATTTGACATTTGTTACATTAAGCTGATGAGTGACAAGACTCCTGTGTGTGGGTGGTGCCTGAGCTGCACTGAAAGGACAGTTTCCTGTCTGATTTGCCTTTTTGTGGTGAACTCTCATCTCACCCTGAGCACATTTTCTTGTGATTTATCAAGTTCATGCCTCTGCAAGTTCTGTAAGGTATTACAGTTTATCCCTGTATTTGCTCAAGGTGTAGCTCAGGTTCAGTTAAGCCATTTCACATTGACTTGTTGCCCGATCTCCTTTTGCTTCCACTGGAAAACCCCAACCCATTTGTAGATGAGGTGAGTCATGATATATAGAATAGTTATTATTATTATTATTTGATAGTCATTGGATGTCGCAGGTGCCTCCCAGCTGGATCACATAGATTTGACACCGCAATGATTGCAGACATGTAAGTATTTTGTACTGTAATTGCTTAAGCTACATTACTGCTACAACCAAGGTTTTAAAATGTGATGCACAGAATTTGCTCACTTATTGCAAATGACAGCAAAAGAAACTGGTATAAATGAAATGGGCAGATCAAATCCCAGGACACTGATATGATGCTGATACCGTCAAGTCCAGGCAGCCTGTGTACACCTGAAATAGTTTGCACGTGAGTGTGTATGCATGTGTTATTTGTGTAGTTCTCATTTCTGAAGTGGTGTGGAAATCAATAAATATTTTCTGTGTAACTCTGTAAGAGTTAATTAAGCTTACAAATGAGCCCACAAGGCAAAGAAAAACAGTGAACAATGAATTCCACAATGCACCTTTCTATACTGATGATACGCATGTCTGAAACCGCAGCTGATACATGAATTCAACAACATAAGAGGTAGGCAAAGCTATCACTTTCACTGTTGAGTAAAATGTTATTTAACAGCTCAATTTTACATGCTGCTCCACCCAATTAAAACTTCCTCACATTTGGAAAGTGTGTTATAGAATTAGAAATGTTGGCCATATATGCAATGCCCCAGTATTTGAAGACAGTGAATTCACGTATGTTAATACCAGTTGTTCTCTGGCAGATCAGTCCCGCTGTGGGAGGTTTTTCAGCACAGCAAGGCTTCAACCCTTCCACCACCACATTATTAACAGGCTCACTCTTTTCATTGATCTCATGATCAGAGGATGCGTGTAGATCTGTACACATGTATATTTTCCAGTTTACATATACATTTAAACTTTTAAGTAAAAACAGCATTTCATTATATCATCACATCTTCCTAATCACTACTGGCATTAAGGCAATGTGAAAGGTCCAGGAGGATCTCTAGCAGTTTGTTAAGGCCCCCCTATGAGAGAGTGGATCTATGTGGTGGGGCCACCACCAAACTTCATTATGCTGCCTCCATGATTGTTTGGTAAATGCATGATTTTTGACAATTCCTTTTAGTCATCATCATGGGATTTCAGTCCAAGTATTATTCAGTACAGCCTATGAATCAGAATCAGAATTAGGTTTATGGCCAAGTGGGTTTTCACATACAAAGAATTTGCCTTGGTATATTGATGCATAGCAAAAATAAATTTCTTATGGTAGGGGGAATGTTTCAAAAGGTTTGTGACTAGGGTGGGAGGGGTCAGCCACACTATCACCTGCTCGCCTCAGGGCCCTGGAGGAGTACGTCCTAGAGGGATGACAGTCTGCCCTAGTCCTTGGCAGTGGCAGCCGCATACCAGATGGTGATGGAGGAGGAAAGGATGGACACAATGCTGGTGGTGGAGAACACCATCATTGTTTTTGGCAGGCTTAACAGTTGCCACAGGAAGTGCATCCTCTGAGCTGATGTTCAGCTCCCATTTGAAGTCCTGAGTGATGATGGTGCCCAGGAAGCAGAAGGACTCCACAGTGCCAACTAGTAAGTCACATAGAGCGACGGGGGCAGGTGGGGCTGGGTTCTTTCTGTACTCAACCATATCCAGAGCACTGATCGAGCTCCAAGTTGTTCTGACTGCACCAGGTCAACAGATGGAATCAGGATGTTGCTGTTGTTCTTGAGTTGAATTATTTATTTCTCCTTTTACTGCCACTTCCACAAAAATCTCCCTTTCCATTGTCCAGTTTCTTGTGGGCAGGATTATGAGGAGGAGACTGAATATTCCCATAATCCTTTGCAACTACAGTAATATACTGTGGCTTGCATGTTTCATGGTACCTTATTGTATATTTTACAGTAAAATAGTCTTAAAATTAAAAAAGAATAGTGACAGTTGTATTTTCAGGTTTTTGTGAAAGTAGGCTTTTGCTTGCATTAAGTTCCATAAAGCTGAAGTCTCACCTCGTGGGACTGAGTGTGACTGAAAATCAATGGGGCAAGGAAGACAAGTCCAAGGAGCATTAAACTTATTGATTTTTTTGTACTTACTTTTAAGCAACTGAATTTAGGTCTCAAAACCCAATTTCCAATGTCCTTAAGCCATACTGTCACATACACTGTCAAAACAATATATAATTACAATGCGAAAAAAATAAATAACAAATAACCATGAAAAATCACAGCATGACTGTGAGGGTGGAAAGTAATAAGCCATAAAAATGTATTTGCAATGGCTTTGAGCAGGTGCCAATTAGATAATTTCTTAGTCATAATCTGAGCTGGAGATCTGAAGATGTTGTGGTGTAAAGATGCAATCTTCCATACATTAGACTTTTATGGAACAAGTCACAGAATGATGCATGAAAAAAATAAGAAGCAAGAAATCAATGCAACACATGGTAAATCAAAGACAGGCCATTCTCTTTTAAAGATTTTAATAAATTCTCTTTAAAGTGTCATAATCAACTACTGCTGCTTCAAAGCAGGGAACTAATTGTCAGTGAGATTCTTGTGACTACAGTGAGTTTAAAGATAAACAGGTAGGCTACTGAACATTTTTAAGCAGAAAAAGAAAAGTATAATGATAGGCCTACATATAAAAAGAAACATGGAAAGGATTTGGCCTAAAGAATAGCTCTTTAGAGGCTATTTACAACTAAAAAACAATGTTGTTGTAATCTTCTTGGGATAGAAAAGTTGGGTTGGTCGGTCCAACACTGGTCCAGATTAAAATATTTCAGAAACTACTGGATCTGGTTGCCATGAAAAATAGGTACAGACGTTCATGGTCCCCAGAGGATGAATCATACTGACAATGATGAACACCTGGCTTTGCCACTAGCAGCAAGGTTGACATCTATTGTTTGAATAACATATCCCGACAGATTTAGCTTTTCAAAAAATTATTTGATTCCCCTCAAGATGAATTGTAACTTTGTTTCTCCCCTGATTTTTCAACCGTCATCAGATCAAAGTTTTAGTTTGTCCAATACTTTGGTTTGGATGCTAAAGTGGTTAGATTCCGCTACCGTCAGTTACATCAGACCTCGAAAATATTTTTTTTATTAAAAAAGAGCAAAGATGTTTTTGCTCTTGTCCCGACTGGCGGTAAGAGTTTTTTCAAAGTGCCTCCTCTTTTCTAAACAGTTCCCAACAATGACCTCCCAGGTGGTTCTATGTAACAAACCATGGGGTGAGTTGCTTTTCATTCCTAATAAAAATGTTCTATTCAACTGCAATGTTTCAGAAATAAAACCTTACAATGAGCCACTATATGTGCATAAACACTGTTAGCAATAAAAGGTGCCATGTTTTAGAAAAAGCATGATTAATATTCTGCCCAAGTCCCGGTAGTCATGTCTATCTACAGGCAGAGTTTGTGTGAAATGCTTATTCTGTATTCCCATCACACCACTTTGATGTGCATGCTGTGTTTTATCTTATCATGGACATTCATTTCTTTCTGCCCTCTGTGGCCTTCACAATTAATTCTTTGACAACACCATTACACCTCAAATACAGCTTTCATCTCAAGCTTTAGCTCAATCTGTTCCGGTCGCAATATGTGTGTTGGTTTGTGTGTGTGTGTGTGTGTGTGTGTGTGTGTGTGAAGTCACACATGTAAGAAAGAAGGAGAGCAAGTGGTATGCAAGGCAATATTTCCACTATGTGTAATTCTTTTGAAGATAATTCATCCGTGCTTTCAAGGTGTGACAAACTGGATTGTTTCCTTTTTTTCATTTCCTGAGACAAACTCAAAATTAATTTTCAAGTGCCACCATATGTGCCTTTGACTCACTGTGATTAATTTATGGTTGTGTGCAGGATATGCAATATTGAATTGTAATGAAAAGCAGCATGCCATTGCTGACAACAATGGGTAACTTATACTATAAACCGGGATGTTTACAAGGTTGAAATTGACACTCATCCCATAAAGCACCACACTGCTGAAACAATGAAGATTCACAACATTTCACACCCTGGGACACTATGGCAAGTCAACGTGTGTATAGGATTGCTCAAACTCAAAGAATTTCTATTTGAATTCCAGTAAAGATTACAAGGTCTCCAAAGATGAAACATTACAGTGTTCCATGCTACAGAAAAATGTGCAGAAAATGGATCTTGGATGTGAATCATGTTCACATCCAAGATCCATTTTGTGTTCCAGGACATTGCGTTCAAAAGGAAACAATGAAGGTTAAGGTGCTGACTTTCAGCTTCAATTTAAGAGAGTTTACTGTGTATCGGGTGAACAGAAGCCCTTTCATTTTAAAATATGAGGACTATGCATAAAAAGGGTTATGAATGCAACACTCAATGTGAACAATATGGATGCGACGGATCTAATGTACCAAAGCAATGTACAAAACAATATCTGTCACTGTCCCCTGTAGTGTAATAAAGGACACTCTTAAATGAACAGATACAGTACAAGATACATAATGCTGTAAATCAGAGTGAACACATATTTCATCTACTTTTAAAGCTATAAGGGAAATATAAGGAATGTTTGTTCAAAACACTGAGATGTGAATTTATTGAATTCCCAAACTTATTACAGTCATAGTGGAAACTAAAAGAGTACACCAGGGATTTCTTTCAAAATGTGCCTCACTTTTTCCACTTAATTTCTGTTTTTCTTTATTTCTAACACCACCCGAGGCTTTGATTCCCTGGTTTTAATTGGTGCTGGTAAATTGTTAACCATGGTCCATAATGCTGGATCTGACTAATTGATCCAGAATTGTGAACTGTTAGGTATTTGATAATTAAGTTTTCAAAAATGATTGAATTTTTAAAAATATTTTAGAAATACTTAGACATACTCTCTTGGCCCATTATGCTTTAGCCAGAGTTATAAAAAAGGCACAGCAGTTCCAAGTGTATAATTCAAATAAAATTGTAAAAGTCATTACTATATTGCGTCAGTTGTGAATGGCACATCAAAGCATCTGGAAGATTTATGAATGGGCGTTATGGAGTGTGCGTTTATGAATTCAGGTGTAGACGTCATTAATTGCTTGCAGCTTGGGGGATCTGGCGCTCCAGCTCATTATAGTGAAGCATCCTGCTCCTCCGTCCTCACAGACTGATCCGCTCTCTGGTGCTTTGTAGTCGCTTCTCCTCTGACTGCTGCTGAGAGGAGTGAACATTTTCATTCGGCGCAAGGAACAGCCAATGAGGTGGGGGTTAAAAAAGTAATTCTGGAAACTTACTGGGACCTTAATTGGACCAAGCATAGCATTAGAGGGCGTGGATTTAGGTCATCCAGCGCTGAGGTAAGAAACATTTATTTGTCATCAGTTAAAATCAGTTATAAGTTCTAAGCAATTTAAGTCTAAATTGTGTCATTGTGTGAAATATGAGAAGAAATAGAGCCTACAGTAGAGGCTACTATTTGTCATGTAAAATACCGAATGCAGTTGTAAATATGTTGTTTACCCAACTAATTTGCGCAAATACACAGAACTTGATGAACTTGGGTGATTTATTTTAACACTGACTATTTGTGACTATTTGCCGTCCGTTTGCACGTAATGTCACCACTGCAACATCAGTCCAGTCTGAATAGTAATTCAATTGTATGAAAATGTGTAACACAGAGCACATTATTAGAAACCTGCTCGATTAGGTTTCTAATTCTGTGCTCTGATTAACACAGGACCTAAATTATCAACATCTTCTGATCCTGAACGTTGGACCACTTTAAAATAACTTTTTATCAATTACTTAACAATCTGTGTGACTCTGGTTACAAGGCGGTCTGACCAGCTGTATCTGTCTAGTATCTTATCCTATCACCAGCATTGTTTCTCACAAAACTGAGCTGGACGATAGAGAGCAGACAGAAATATAATGTAAACTGTGTTTTAAACACATACATCAGTTAGTTGTGTTACAGCCATTTAATTAAATTACTCAACCATCCAATTCGGTGTAGCACATGTTATAACTTCCTTGGGGCCAATAAACAGTCAGTGTGGATGAGTTTTGCGCCTTTACGCACGGAGAGCGTTTGCAATATGTGACTAGACTATGATTTATCCTTTGTTCTTGTGGTGAGATAGTAGTCATTTTCATTACTCATTGGGTTATCATGTTTAAATTTAGCTACGGATAAAGGTGTTTGGATATAACGTTTATCATTAGAAGAGCGATGAACTCCTGTCTAGGATGATGATGATGAGGAGGTCTTGGAGCCCCACAGACAATATACCCACCTCAGATTTTTGTTGATTTACCCCTTTATTATTGGCAGAAATCTTATTATGCTGTTCAACCCATGTCCTTTAGATATGTTTATACATTATTATTTTATAGTATCAGTACAGCTGTCTTAGGCTTTATGTTACGGTTTGGCTGTAAAAGTCTGCTGCTGGAAGTCAGGTTACTGCAAATTGAGAACTGTGACTGACCACAGGAACAGCACATTAGGATGTGTTTGAGGTGCATTGTCCTGTTATTAAACCACTTGTTTATTGACCCTCATGTCAGCCATTGATCTATGTCTGTCAGTCACAATCTGCCTTCAGCTGCTGAAGCAGAATGAAAACATGGAAATGGAGAGTGTTGATGATCTGATCACATTGGTAGTTTAAAGGCATGTTAAAGCATTAGTCCTTGCCTTTGAATTAGAGATGCACACAAATCACAAACAGTGCTGCAGAAGGTCAACACTATCAGAGATTTGCATGAATACAGTTCAGTCTCATTTGCAAGTGGTCATTTTTGTGAAAATCGTCTACATTTACAAGGTCTTTGGCTTCAAGGTAAAACGATAAGGGTTGCAGTTTGTTCTTTGGTAGCCAGTTAATTCACCATTGGGACTAATGTGAAATGTTCACATCCTGCTCCTAACAACTTTAAATACACAAATTAAAAGCTATAATATTAGTTAGACCAACCCCTAGCATTACTTTTGAAAATCTCTGTCTCTCTCAATCAGTTTTCAGATGGCACCATTAGATGAAGACATTGCATTCCACTCCAACATACCTGTACCACTGGATATAATGGTGGCTGTGGTCTACTCTATTTTTGGTGAGTAAAGTCTACCTAAATTTAAACTCACGATAAAGAATTAATAACACTAATAATGCTGTCAATGAATTTTCTACTCATTCAGCTCGGGCTTAAATGAGTAACAGCATGAATCAAGACAGCCAACTGTGAAGCCTAGGAAGCACGTTTGCCTTTTTCATTTTAAACTGTGTTACTATGTGATATTAATTCCACTTCTGCCCATATGTAATATCTACTGTGAATATTTATCCTTTTCATCTATATTTACAGTATTTATGTGTAAATTCTATACCTGCATACGTCTATCCTTCCTCAGGCATGCATACATCAATGTACAGACCAACTGTACAGAAGGCCAATGTTGCAGCTGTTCATCTATTATCCGTATATGGCTGGGCCATGTACTGAAAAACAAAATGCCTAGGGTATTTTTAATCTCAGTTGTGATCAGTAAAGAAATGTTAACTTGTGAAGCTATAGGCATAACAAGCATAACAGCTTTACCTGCCACCTGAATTTAAGGGCCTGGAACTTCGTTAACACTAAGCATTGCTCAGTATTTATATATATGGCTGTTTATTACCAAACACTTGTGGGATAGTAATACTACTTTGAATTCTACAACATGAAAAGTTACATAATCATGAACATCTGATAGATGTCCCAATAGATATTTTCAGTCGTTGCGGTAATTTGTGTGCATTGAATCAGTTTCTGTTTACCCTTGTTTCCAGTCTTTATGCTAAGCTAAGCTAACTGGCTGATGGCTGTAGCCTTATAATTAACCTACAGATAGTAGAGGTGTCCTCTCATCTAATTCTCTGCAAGAAAGCAAATAAGTGAATTTCCCAAAATGCTGAACTATTGCTTTAGATATACAGTATAATTCTGACAACTTCTTTAGACCATTGCTCAAAAGCCAAAACCTTTTTGACATTAGCACCTTAGCCTTGTGACACACAATCAGCACTCCATCGCATTCAGGTGTTTTTGTCTGTTTTTCCTGCAGGAGTATGTTCACTGTTTGGCAACATCACACTGCTTTATGTCTCCTATAAAAAAAAGCACCTCCTGAAACCTGCCGAGTACTTCATCATCAACCTAGCTGTTAGTGACTTGGGCCTGACTCTCTCACTCTACCCCATGGCGATAAGTTCAAGCTTCTACCACAGGTACCACGCCTGGTCCTTACCGTGAGAATTAATAGGTATCAAAGCAAAGAAACAGATACAAAGTGGTTATTCTCACCACCAGAGAATGAGATACTTTCATGTGAAACGTGCTATAGGAAAGATTGTAGGTATTGCTTTTAAATCAGAATCCTTTTTCGTATTTCATGGTTTATTTAACAATATGGTTAGGACTATGATTGCATGTGATTTTACACATATGGAGTGTCATGCTATTCTCCTCTTTCCTTTCTTCCTCATTGATCTTTCTTCTTTGTCTTTGCTTTGCACTGTCCTCTTTCTCTTTCTCACACCCCCCTTGCCCTCCTACGCAGGTGGCTGTATGGGAAAACAGTGTGCTCCATATACGCTTTTTGCGGCATGTTGTTTGGCATCTGCAGTCTGACCACTCTAACCCTGCTAAGCATGGTGTGCTTTGTGAAAGTATGTTATCCGCTCTATGGTAAGTCTTCAAAGAAGCTATTTTTTCCCAATGAAATGACACAGGATTAACCATCACATCCATAAGTGGCTGATTGTTGATTTATCTGTGGACGGAAACGAAATGATAATCCCTCCATGAAGCGCTGCACATTAGCCTTCCTTTCATGACGTCCAAGTTCTGCACTCAATAAGAATTACCTGTGATGCTGGTTAATGCAGTGCAATGGACCCTTCTATTTGACCTCAAGAAATTGTGTTTTCCAAGGCAGTGTCACAAAAGGGGTCATGATGTCTACGTATATATTTTGAGCAGACACATTACTTGTCATTCAATCACCTTATCTTTATTCAGAGGCCTTATCTTTAAGCTGTTGTCAGGTTGCAGTCACCTAGTTGCTTATCCTCTACCTGAGCTAGCTTCAGCCAAATAGATTCCAAAAGAGATTCTGGCACTAGTCTGCACACCTCCAGTAACAAAAGTCCAACTTCTTTGCAAAAAATACTGCGGGTCTGCTCTCCTTGCCTATGGCTTGAACATGCCAAGGCCACAGTAAAAAAAACCCTGGTAAGCACTGTACCCAGTTTACTGCAAATAGGCTCCTTTGTTGGCTAATGGGTCAAGCTGCAATCTTAGTGAATGACACCATTCTCATCAACTTCACTACTGAGGAAACACAACTCAGTGTGGTTGAGGAGAATAACCTTAAAGATGCCCATTCAAAGTACATCTTACCTGGAGTTTCAAGCCATTCATGGCAACCCCCCTCCCTCCACAATTGTGAGATGTGTTATTTAGACCACACACTCCTATCTGAAGCCGATCAATACAAGTCGGATGAAGAGGCTCATAAAGCGGCAGCCCTGGTAGTGAGAGTTCTTAAGATTTGTATGTTCAAGGACAGAACACTGAATGGGGTCTCAAACACACCAATGCTAAAACACATTTATTCATTTCTTGAGTGACATAGGGGCCTATATGAAGTCAAGGAAGGCTGTGTTCCATCAGTTACACAAGCTGGCACAAAAACTAATAATGTGGCGATGCACATCTTCTTTGTGACTGCACCATATACTCCTGGATTTGTTATCCAATGGCAATCCCCTTTAGGGATTTCATCCAGCTTTAGTGAATCAGATGATTTTTTCATACCACAGAAGAACACACAGGGTCCAGTCATTTTTGCCTCACACAATCAGGATGCACCCAGACCGGATGCACTTCTGCACCAGAAGCCTTGCATTGACTCTTCCATCTCCGGTCAGAGTGAAGGAGAACTATCTGACCCTTACATATGCCTCATGTATGCAGTTGGCAGAAAGTTTGAGAAATAATGAACAATGACAGTCAGCCACTCAGAGCTGATGTAAAGGCATCAACCTGTGAGCATGCCAACTTCACACTGTGAAACCCACTGTGTCAAAGTATGCAGGGTCTGAACGATTAGCTTTGGTTGTTACCACATTGAAAAGCTATAAGCACTTTTGCTTTCAGATGAAGTCAGTCGACAAGAAGTATGAACTGGTTTATTTCAAGCAGACCCTGTGCTTAAAGGTCCAGTGTGTAAACTGTAAGTGTATAGGAGACCCTATTTGCAGAATATGGCAGAAATGGAATATAATATTCCATAAATCCAGAAATGGAATATAATATATCTACAGAGAGTGCAGGTCATCTTCCATGGAGCCTGTCTTGTTTCTACAGTAGCCCAAAATGGACAAACCAAACAGAACCTTTTGCGTTTTTTGTCCCCATGGTTTTTACACTTGGAAGGACGAGTTGTAGTCACTTGGTTGCAAACTGCAATTTCCTCACTACATGCCACTAAATCCTATATACTGGTCCTTCAAATGGAATAAGTGCTTCTGAGAACATGCAGGGGATGGCACTCACATGGTCACTCATGCTGCTTGAGAGAACCTGGGTTATCAAACTTCCTAAATATTTCCATCAGTCAATTTATTGTAACATATGTTTGGTGCAAATTCTGCCAGAATCTCTTAACAACATGAATAATAAAACATAAACTTAATCTGTCTTCACAGGGAACAGGTTTAACTCTGTTCATGGCCGTCTGCTCATTGCCTGTGCTTGGGTCTATGCCCTGTTGTTTGCCTGCTCTCCACTGGCCCACTGGGGGAACTATGGGCCAGAGCCTTATGGCACCGCCTGTTGCATTGACTGGCGCCTGTCCAATCAGCATACCACAGCACGCTCCTTCACTGTAGCACTGTTCATCTTCTGCTACATCCTTCCGTGCTGTGTTATTGTGGCATCCTACATAGGCATTCTGGTCACAGTGCATGTATCCCGCAAGAATATGGAGCAGCATGCATCGAGGCAGAAGAACATGAGCAGCATCCAGATGATTATTGTTAAGGTAAGAGGAGAGTCTGATAAATAACAATTATTACTTCCACCATCCCAGAGATACCATTTGGCTCATATAATATAAAGTGCTTTTATCCTTTCCGCTAGAGTCTCAATTTTAGGCACTGCTTTAGAAATAACATATTCTAAGAAAGTAAAGCACCATTGGAAGTGACTATTATGAAAGAAGTCTGTGAGCTTTGCTTTACTGATTCTGCAGTCTCTTTCTCTGTTTGAATCTCTTTTCACCTTGACATGCTTGCCCTCATCATTACTGTGTCTCCGTATAATCACATCCCAGAGGAGTATTATTAAACCCTTTGCACTCTTTCAACTACACACAGGATAAACACACCCACAGACAAAAATAAGCTAAGCCTGAAACTTAGCTCTGAGCTGAGTCATTTGGTCATACCTGTAATTACTGGTACAAATCTTGTCAGTTTCACCCATCCAATATGTAGTGAAACTTTAAAGTGCCTATCGGATAAAACTGACACCACATGGTAACAGCAATGTGGTGATGGTTCAGGGGTATAATATCAAAGTGCCCCCTTAGAGACAAGAGTCGTCTGGAGAGTTCTTCGCTCCTCCAAGAAATTTTCAGTGACCTCAATAGATCCTCCAGTGATGCAGCTTCTCATTAGCAAGAATTGGCTCTGGCTGTACTGTGATGGATGAGAAGCTACTGCTGCCTTTGCTGATAAACGGTCATCATAATATACCCTTCTCCAAGGATAACTCTGATTCATCCAAAAAAGGCTCACAAAAATGCCTTTCTGCTCATGTAGCATCTGACTGATACTGGCCAAGGTAAATGCTCAAACTCAGTCAGCCATACCAAGGCGAGGCAAATGTATTTATATAACACATTTTCCAGCTAGACATTGTTTAGATTATATCTTCTGCTTTTAAAGGGTAAGTCTGGTGATATTCTATATATTTCTTATTTTAACACCATGAAAAGACCAAAACCAACAATAAATTGATCTAACTAATAAGTCACTTATGTAGCCAAAGCCTGATAGATTATACCTCCGTGATTTAGACCTTCATTGTACAAAAACTATTAAAATTACATAAATGGGTCACAATGTTGCACTAGACATGAATTGACAGACATAGTAACATGTTGATGGTTTTGGTGTTTTCGTGGGATTTGTTGACACTGAGAAAATATATAAAACACTAGACTTACACTCGAAATACATGGTGATGTAAAAAGCACCAAAAACTGTTTTTAAAAGTATGCATTTTCTAAATTATATCAATTACACTTTTCTACTGTGTGCTTTTCTTCTCAAAGCTAAGTGTTGCTGTTTGCATCGGTTTCTTTGCCGCATGGAGTCCATACGCTGTGGTGTCCATGTGGGCTGCATTTGGACACATTGAGAACATCCCTCCTATGGCTTTTGCCATGCCAGCGATGTTTGCCAAGTCCTCCACCATTTACAACCCAATCATCTACCTAATGCTGAGGCCCAACTTCCGCAAGGTGATGCGCAGGGACATGGGTACTCTGTGCCACGCCTGTCTGAAGGGCTGCCTCTGCTCTGCAGGGCAAGCCAAGTGCTGCTCCAAGCCAGAGATCAGGGTCCGACTTCGCACAATCCACAGACAGACCAACAAATTCCCTTCATCCAACTGCTCTGCTCAACCTCCTATACCATTAAAGGACCACAGCTGTGAGAAGTGTACGGATGCTTTCGAATGCTTCGGACATTACCCCAAAATGTGCAGTGTCATTAACCCTGTGGCCAATGGAGACTCGTCTAAGCATCAAGACACTCCAGTTCCCAAAACACATAAGCAGAAGACTCAAAACGTGTGCCACAAGAAGTCTCTGCTGGCTACCATGTGTGCAAAAAGGACATCAGAAATAGACAACTTCCATATTAATTTAGAGATGGTTCCAGGGCATGCGAAAGTGGCATGGCCATGATATTTCTCTCAATTTATAATGTTTACACAATATCTCTGGATGTATTCTTTCAGGTTATGTTCTTTCAGATGTGAAATTACTAATCTATATTTTCAGGAAATCTTGTTCAGGAATGTACCATATAAGTGTTTGAGCAGCAGCCATGCAACCTATTTATTTTGTGTTGCCTGCTGTGTTTCATGTTGTACACCCATAAACAATCTAATGAGTGTCACTTTAATGCCCCTGAAAACTTGATTCAAAAGTATTTCTCTATCTTATTAAGTATTCATGATCTTTAGTTATTATTTAAGAGTTTAAAATCTCAGGACTGTGTGGATGAGGTTTGATTAGATTTGGTTGACAATGACGAAACAATCCACCAACTGTCTGATTCAAATGTTGATTCAAATCCTTATTGGTGCAAGTATAGAACTTTTTGCTCCTTTTTCCAAATTAGCCCTGACCCCTTGAAAATCAGTGAAAGGAGCACAAAGAAAAACAGAAATGCAGAAATCTTTTTCATCAATAAATGTTTTAGTTCTGGGTTTCAAGCATTGAGAAAGTATTGCCCTATGGCTCAAGTTAAAGCTGACATTCTGAACTTTCAAAATTTTATTTTGTAAAAGTGCTGTGGAAATACTTTATATTATACTTGATATTATTTCCCTACTAGTCATTGACTTATTTGCACCTGAGTTCACCCTCAGGGAATCTTAACACTCCGTTTACTATGACAGTCCAAGTATTGTTTACACTTGACAACTGCAGGTATATAGTTTTTGGTGCTTGATCACATATCTGTGTACACACTGTGTAGAACATTATTGTCTACCAGTATTATGAGAACTTCAAGTCATTCTTTATTACATGTACAATCAAAACGGAATATGTCTTTACGTGACTACCTAACAATGTTGTTTATTTCACTACATTGGTGGGAAAGGGAAAAACAAACCTGTACAACCCAAATAATGCAGCTGTAAATTCATTCATTAGTGCAGAAAGAATATTAAATTTATGTTGTCTGTAATTGTTGTTGCTGTGTGTAAATCCACGATGTAAAGTAAACATGACGTGATTGGGATTTGGGCAATCACTCAGGCCCAAGCCTGTCATTGACAACTCAATCGTTTCAGTTTCTCAGTCACTCACAGAAGTGTTTCTCTCATATTAGCATACCCCTCAGGCCTACTGCCGTTTCAACTAATCTAATTAAAAGGTAGTTGTTTACCATTTGTTTAATTACTTGTCATGTTGTAGGTCTTATGTTGCCAGGCGTACTGTTTTTTTTAACTTAAGTGGTTAATTAGATTTTATCTATGGATCGACAGGGTGCTGTTTAACGACATCCATAAATCTGATAGAAAATGGATGTAATTACTGTTAAGAAACAGGGAAGCCTGTCCACATTTTTATCCCTTATCTTTAATCGTTCATGGCATGGAGGGATTCATTTTCTTGAAGATAGTGAAGAGATTATTAAACTCACCGGGTAAAAAAATAACAGCAGTGGCTCTTTGATTTGCAAAAGTATACTATCATCACATCTGTATTCCATTAAAATATGATTTCAAACAGTCTTTTCAATGAGAACAGTCCAAGGAAAAATGTGTCTTTGGAGAAGTTAAATCAACACAATTTTTTTAACTCTTGCACTCAGGAAAAATTCTCCAAATTCTCCAAAACATCACATAAAGATATACGCAAACATTATATTTGGCCCTATTGCAGTTGTTTTAAGTCTAAAGTCACACTTACTGGGCCGTGATTGGTGTATACTGACTTGTTGCTGACCCAGTAAAACCTTTTTTAACTGAGGTATCGTTCCATTTAGTGTAGCCAACGTGCACAAACACCCTGACTGTTTAACCTGAATAGAACCTTAATCAGTATAATTGGTTACACCTGTGTTTACCCTACTGTTTCATGTCAAAATGGCTGCTATGAAAAAAAGTCTTATCCATAACTTGTTCAAGTCACTTTTAAGTACCTCAAGACATACATTTAATTTCAAGTTTTTTTTTTTTTTTTTTTTTTTTATTTCTGGGGTGTTCACAAAGCAGTTTTACCTCCATGCAATTTGCTTTAATTTTCACCAGCTGTGAGCACCTTTCAATTTCCTTTGTCCATGGCATTGTAGGAGAATAGTGCCCCTCAACAGCAATGTCAAAAGTCAAATGCTTTTTAATATGCATTCTAACTTATACTTAGTATTCTATATTTTGTCACTTTTCCACCACATTCTCACACAGCCTAGATTTAGCATGTAGTGTGGAATTGGGATACTAGCTACAGTCTGTCATGTTTTCAGTATAGTTATATCAATGAGCTAGTTGCAGGGGATAACTAATAAGATCTTAAGGAAATACTAAACTTGAAACAATAGCAGCTGAAGTTGTGTAATGCAATTAAGTACACATTTATGCTCAAATCTTATGAACATATGTACTCACAGTTTATTCTGTTTATCAAATGGCTTTCAATTAATTACAATTAATTTTTGTAATGATAATGTAATGACATGAAGACATCACAGAGACACAACAACCTTTGGATGGTGAGAACAGTATTTTGTAATCATGTAAAAATACTTGACACAATACAGCGCAGCAGCTAAAGATATTCAGATGTCATTACAGTAACTCCACACACTGAAAACTCCCAACAAGTAGCTAATTAGTCATTCGTACACTGTTACAGTAATTTGGGAAAAGGGAGGGGTACATAATCTACAGCTGGTCTCAGATCAAAAGAGACAGTTTGATGCTCTCACAAACATTTTATCTGCTGACCACTACTGGACACACAGATGACAAAAAGAATACACATGCATTAGTAGAATACTGTTCTAAAGTTCCTGTCCTGTACAATTTTAACCCCCCCACCCAGTTGAAACAACTTTTCTGCTTTTTACAGACTCATTTGTGCTTTGAGTCATTACATTTGTGTTGGGCTGGAATAAATGTTTACCACACACCATTTCATTGTCCCTGAATATGAATTTATAATTCTGTTAAAGCTCCAGTAACCAGTCTTTTCCAACACTTGACAGTGTTTGTATAAAAAGATATTACCATTGTAATAATTCTTGCTTTGACTTGTTTACACATGAAAGCAACTCATTATCTTATTACAATGAATTACAAATTGAACAATGATTTTTAAATTGAATCATTAGAAGACCCTGAACCCTGACCACATTCCTCTCTACTGTTCATTAAGATAAGCTTGGTAATTTTAACTTTCGCAAGTCAAAGTAATCATGTTATCATATCACACGACTACAAGTGTTCGTTGAGCTACCAAAGACAATTTCCCGATGAAAACAGTTGACAGTGAGCTCTGTGGTTAACATGAGTAACCAACATATTCTTCCTATATGCCATTTTCCGTGCTTTGACAACATATTACTATATTCAGCATGACAGAGATAATATATAAAACCCATGGCACATGAAACCCAAATGTTTTCTTGGTTTTAGTTTGAAGAAAGCCTTTAAATATTAGGCCCACAAACATTTCAGAAAACATGGACATCATAAGGCAGAAAGTCAGTTAGAGGGAATAAGGCAAATCTGCTGAAGTTTATCAGATCAAGGAGGAAGAGCTGCAAGTGTCCAATATTTTCTGAATGACATCGACCTTTATGTTGCCTTCCAGAGCTCGACAAAGCTTCCCGATTGTGCAGCCAATGCTTCCCTCCTTCATTTTCCAACGATCCAGCATCTGGTGCACCATCTCTGGCAGGCCATCACGGTAACAGTCATGCTCAATGGTCTCTATTTCCACACTGGTCAGACCCAGTTTCCGCGCACAGCGCTTCCATTTGTTCCCGATGTTTTCCCTCAGCAGATCCAGGTGCTCTTCAGTCACAGCATGATGCTCTAAATTACACAAAAGATAAATCTATTAGGGCAATTATTCGTTCAATTCTAATTAGAAACTGTTGTCCTGGACTATTTAAAAACTCTTATGTCTGCAGATCAGATGAGCATTATTTAATGCTCTTTTTAATTAAAATTAAAAAAAGATTAGTGGGTTAACTAGTTAGTTGACAGAAAATAACCAGCAACTATTAAGCAACTATCTAATATGTAATTTTTCAACTTCTCAAAAGAGAGAATTTGACACTTGTCTTTGCCCTATATCATGAACATTTACATTTTATGGAAAAACTATGAATCAATAAAATAATTAGCAGATAAATCAATAAGGGAAAATAAATCATTAATTGCAGCCCTAATACAAACATATGCAAACTGAGGGACAACAAAAGTGTACAGACATAGTACATCACATCTGTAACGTGAAGGAAACGTTGTTGGTTTACCGTATTTCATGCCTTCCTTGTAAGCTGAGCCATTAGAAGGTTGAGACAATAAACTACTGGAGGACTCGCAACTCCTGATACTCATCATGTTGTTGTTCCCAATCTGGATCCCGCTGGCATTCTGAATGAAAAGAGATCCTGGAACACGCACAAAGAACACACACATAAACACAGTCTCTCTAATGTCAGTCAAAGGCTGTGAACACTTCAGGCATCTAGATCTAGAATTTACTGAAAAAATGCTTCATCAAACAGACATGTTTGTGTCTACCTGGATCTTGTAGCGAGCTGCCCTTGGAAGGGGCCAGGAGACGCCCCGGGCTGATGTCAGGAGCAGATGTATCAGACACTGGGTAAGTTGGCCAGGACTGCTGGCGGTCAAAGTGGGAATGTGGATGTTGCTGGTTAAACTGTGGTAGAGAAGAGGTGCTGGCAGACATTGGCAAGTGGGATGGAGTTGGTGTGGTAGAGTTCATGGAATCATAGAGACCAGCAGTAGGGCGATGCCAAACCTCTTCCTGGCTGGTGGGCTGCACTGGCTCAGCTTTTGTCCAGGAATGGACAGAGGAGGATTTGTCTTGTTCAGGTTGCCTTATCGCATGATCTGAAGTGTTGAAGTGGTTTGGCAGGAAAGGATTTGAGGTGTTGTGATGGTAGCAGTTGGCAGCATCAGGCTGGTTGTCACAGTTGTAGCTACCGTGTTTGTGGTACTGAAACTCCCGATCCAGTTTCTCCTCCAGAACTGAAGGGTTGCTAATTGCCTTTGCATCTGCCTCAATACGCTCATTTTGGATGTCATGCATGTCCTCAATACTGGCTTCAACCGGCACGGATACAATTCTGTCTGAACTCACCAAAGAAGCTGGGAAATCTTCAAGGTAGGGAGAGAAGTTAAAGCAATAAATCTACTCAGTCCTTTTCAGAATCAGCTTTGTGGCCAAGTACGAGTACACATAGAAAGGAATTTATAGGAATAGACATAACAGCTACAAACAAAGACAACAAAGCTGAACAAATAAAAGTTAAAGTACAGACAGGACTATTATGTACATAAGTATTTAACAAATATTATATACACATATTTTATACACATATATACCCCTATTTATATACATATAGAAAAAACTATTTGAATTTCAACAATTTCTCTAACTTTCTAAACATTTAGAACGTTCAATGTAATACAACCCGCTGGACAACAGAGTGTATATTAAGGCTATCTAGATCACGAACAGTGCTCACCTGCCGAAAAACAATCAGGGGTCACCGATAAAGATTTCATCTTCTCAACAAGGTCCTCTGGGCCTTCATAAGATTTCTGCATAAAATCAGACGGAGAATCATGATGCAAAGAATTTGTAATTATCTGGGTGTATCTTTACCGGATTATGAGATCAAATCCTAAAGAGAATATAATTACCATCAGAACAAAAAGATCTTCCTCTACATGTGGTTCAAGCTTTTCTGTGTAGAAAGGATGGAAGAAGTTGTAGCTCTCTGCAGGAAAAGGAAAAAGGAGGGACAGGATGAGAGGCTTATTCACCTAATAAACTGAAGGGGTCAAACATAGAAAAAGGTTATAAGTATTAAAGTAAAGACATATTAGTCTGGATGCAGCATCAGCTTCAAATTAAAGCAAGAAAGTTTACATACTGTATGCTTGTGACAAAACTCAACAACAGCTGAGAGCAAAATCAAAACCCTCCTGTCTGGTAAAAATTCTGTAACGCTTTTTTCGGGAATTCAGGAATTTGGGAAATAATTTGTCAATTCATTCAGGAAATGTTAGGAATTTCCTGTATATATTTATATATTTGTGAAAATACTATAATCTATAAGAAACAAAAAAACAACGATGAAGTA